CCACCCACCCACCCCCATGCATATCCCCAACTTGGCCGCTTATCCGACTGAGCCAGAAAGGCAGGGAGCAGAACATCTAAGCTACAAAAAGTGCTCTGCTTTGTGGGTGCAGAATTTGCACCAGTAGTGGCGACGCGCTGGGAGGGCACCAGATGGGGGGAAACTGGCCAATCCGTGTCTGAAAGGCTGCATTGTCTCTGGAGGGGGAGGAGAGGCGGGGATCAGTGGCTCGTATAAATGGCTGCATTAAGCACACGGAAGGGGCTTCAGGGCTGTGGTTAAAGCAGGGTTGTAAGGCAGGAATTCTAGGCCACCACAAACACACACAACCCCACAGCACTGAGCACTCACAACCTTCCCAAATAAGCACTAAGCCAGCACTGGATTTGCAGATTGTTCAGAAATCCTTCCCCCCAACACGAGGTACACAGGTCCTCCACCAAACTTCAAAACACTGCTTGGGTAGCAGTTGTAGCTAATCAACTCTTTATTGACGTACAAACCCAGTGGCCTTGAAAAACAACCGTGGGACAAGAGGTCTTTGCAGATAGGTTGTGTGATGAAGCAGCAGCAGCTTCCCTGTTGGAGAAGGGCAGGACTGGTGAGTTGAGCTGGTGCTCTGTGGTGGATTTCAGGCCAGGAGTGATGTTCTCCTGAAGGAAAGCTGGGTGGCTTAGCAGATTCCCCCAGATAAGACCTCCACAAAGATACCTCGCAAAGCTGGAGGGGTTCTTCATGTCCCAGCTTCCACCGTGGGGTCCTCCTGCAGCCAAGACTGTGGGCACTAAGTAGCTGAGACAGGGCAGAGGACAAGGCCAAGTGAAGCCCCTTCCATTGGTTAACACCACAAGCATAAGGCCCTCTGAAGAGGAGGAGGTTTCTCAGCTTCAGGCCCTGGTGGAAGAATCTGCCCAGAGTTTTCATTTACTGTAAATGATCATAACAACAACGATACTTCCCTCCACAGATTTTGGAGTTGAATTCCAGAAAGAAACCAAAGATCTGGGGAGGAGGGCATTCAATGTCAAAATAGAGGAGCATCCTAAAGTGCATCTGAGAATTGCAAAGGGCTGGTTTGGGGGGGGGGGCAGCAGAGGAGGACTTCCTTGCAGAATTCCTCCAGCATTTTCCAAAAAGGCAGGGCCAGTTAGGCCAGAATTCAAAGGAATGCAAGTGTTGGGTGGAAGAGGTCCTGCAAAGAGAATATGTGTTTGGACACAGTTCACACACTGAAAAGCCTTGCAGGTATTGCCAAAAGTGGCGGGGGGGGGGGGGGGGGGTCT